ACTGAGGCTCTGCCCCAGACGTCAGGATCACACAAGTGCTGCCTGGCTCAATGCTAGAAAGGCCCTTACCTGCTGCTAGGTAAAAGACGCTCCAATACAAAGAAACTTCATGGAAGCCAGGTTGCTGCCAAAATGCAGTGGCTACTGCTACAGCTTGGGCAGCCTGATTCGCCTAGATGTGAATTTCTGCTCTCAGTAAACGCCAGCTGAATGAAAGGCAGGCACTTAGTAATTAACTCTGTGACCTTAAGCAAGTCAGCTGAAATCTTGTGCGTCAGTTTCCTTAGCAGAACGGCATAGCTAAACGCCATGGAGCACAGGACTTGGAACATCTCCAGTCCCAGAAAATGCAAACAGCCACTCTTCAAGAGGCCTTGGGCTAGCATACAGAATCTCTGGCAACTCCTCATTCTAGTGAAATCCCCCCACCCCCCACTGAAGCTAACAACACACAGAAACAGAACCCACCTTCCTGCAGCTGTAGCCCCCAACTCTCAAAGCTCAGGCAACAAACGCAAAGTGTCACCTGGCATGCTCCAGATAAAAGGAGGTCACGGCTCTTCCCGTTTCTCTGCCTACAGCCAAACCCCTTCCGCAAGCTACAGAAGTGGTGGACACAGCTGAGGAAGGGCACTGTCACCTGGATTACAAGGCCCAGGTCAAAGTTACTTCAGCACCGCATTTTCCCTCCCTTGAGACTCAGGGGCAGCAGTTCAAGTCCTTGGGAGCTGCCGAGAGGGCCACTCTCACCTCTCCTTGCCTACATCACTGAAGCCTGGGGCGTCAGACGGAGTCTGGGAGCCGCGCCAGCTTTCCTCTGCCTCTGGGACAAAGGTGACAGGTCTGAGCTGTTCCTAGGTTTCTTAACCATAACTGAGCCTCATTAGCATCTAATTCCCAAGTCACTTGTAGTAAGAAAATGTCATTTTTTTTTCTGTAGTATCTAGCTCTAATTCTATATTATTGCTGGCAGAGCTCTGAGTTCCAGGGTAGCTTGGTCTAAACAGTGAGTTCCAGGCCTGAAAGAGACACATAGTGAGACCCTGACCCAGCACCTCCCTCCCCGCCAAAAAAAAAAAAAAAAGAGGTTTAAAAGTAGGGCCAGTAATATTAATATGGCTCAATGGGTCAGTGGGTGAAGCTGCCAAGCCTGATCACCATTTCCATCCCACAACCCACAAGGTAGAAGCCAAAATCCAATCCCACAAATTATCCTCTGATACACACATGGGTGCCATGGGAGTCACGTTCACACATACACAAGTAAGTTTCGAATGTAAAAAGGAATGCCCATATCAAGAGATATGGATTCTCCTGGGACTCGCTCTGGAGACCAGGCTGGACTCAAACTCAGAGATCTGCCTGTCTCTGCCTCCCGAGTGCTGGGATTAAAGATGTGTGCCACTATCGCCTGGCTCAAGGGATGAGTCTTAAAGCTCACAGTAAGTACACAGGCTTTTGCCAAGAAAACAAATGGCATTAGCCTGGGATACTTAATGAGGCTCTGTCCCAAAAAGAAAAACAAATCTGGGGCAGCATGAACTACAAAAATCAACTTGGAAGTGACCCACGTGTACTGCATAAAGACGTTCGTTACCTAAACTAGACATGAGCTCAAGACAGAGGCAAAGTAACATGCTATCATTTTATAAGTGGTTCCAGTAGCACACAGATGCCAAGAAAAGCTGCTATATACCAATGACATGCCATCACCAAAATAACCTGATTCCAGACCCCTCTAATCTTTCCTGTTTCTCAACTGTTTGTGTCCAGGCTGTCTGGGACACACATCACCCTTGGAACAAGACCTGTTGTGAGGGGACAGGGGAGGAGCTGGGGGGGGGGCTGGTGAGGACGCATACTCGTAACCCCAACACTAAAGAGGAGGAGGGGAAAATAGAGTTCCAGGCTACTGAGGCTACACAGCCAGATCCTGCTGCAAAAAAAGATGCTTCTTACCCTCATTTTACTATGTGTTCCTTTTTTATTTTTACTGTGCATTGGTGTTTTGCCGCGGGTGTCTGATCCACTGGAGAGTTACATACAGTTGTGAGCTGCCACGTGGGCTCTGGGAATTGAACCAGGGTCCTCTGGAAGAACAGTCAGTGCTTTAGCTGCTGAGCCATCTCTGCAGCCTTTCAAAGTTTCACTATTTCTAAATGCTACCCATGTTCAAGATTCATCAGTGCAGCCGTGAACACTGCTGCCGGTATATGCTGCTGCCCCAGTATTTGGGGTGTTAAAACAGGAGAACTACTGTGAGTTCAATGCTACCCTGGGCTACACAACGAATACCTGGCCAGCTTGGGCTACATAGTAAAACCCTGCCAAGAAACAAACTGGCACTGGCTCAATGAAGCCATGGTGGCTGTGCCACTTAACCTCCCATGAGGCTTTTCGGGAGCTCTGGCCGCCTCTGCTGCCACTGCCTCTGGACAGCAATTTCTGGCTGTCTTACCAATGAGCCGCACCTCATAATGGATATCACCCACGCGTCCACGTCACTGTAGTGCAGGGGGGACAATGACAGAAAACACACTCCTGCCAGGGTCTGTTCTGAGGGCGTTATAGTAACACATTAAAGCCTCACTGTACGCTTAATGTGGTGGCTCGGGCCTAGAGGCTGAGGCACGAGAACTGTTATGTGTTTGAGTCCAGCCAGAGCTACACAGTAAAGTTCCATGCCAGCCAGTTTGGACTAAAGAGACCAAGTCTCAAAGAGAGGAAGAAAAACCACACTATAACCCTAGACATTAGCACCTCTCCTATTTTCACACTGGGTAAACCAAGATGAAGAAAGCCAAGCGACTGAGAGGCTAGGAAGTGGTGGGAGACTCCTGACTGACCAGGAGAGGCTAGTGACTAGGAAGTGACGACAGGAGACTCCTGACTGACCAGGAGAGGCTAGTGACTAGGAAGTGACGACAGGAGACTCCTGACTGACCAGGAGAGGCTACTGACTAGGAAGTGACGACAGGAGACTCCTGACTGACCAGGAGAGGCTACTGACTAGGAAGTGACGACCAGGAGAGGCTAGCAGGAGAGGCTAGTGACTAGGAAGTGACGACAGGAGACTCCTGACTGACCAGGAGAGGCTAGTGACTAGGAAGTGACAGGAGACTCCTGACTGACTGACCAGGAGAGGCTACTGACTAGGAAGTGACGACAGGAGACTCCTGACTGGCCAGGAGAGGCTAGTGACTAGGAAGTGACAGGAGACTCCTAACTGACCAGGAGAGGCTACTGACTAGGAAGTGATGGGAGTCTCCAGACTGACCAGGAGAGGCTAGTGACTAGGAAGTGACGACAGGAGACTCCTGACTGACTGACCAGGAGAGGCCAGTGACTAGGAAGTGACGGGAGACTCCTGACTGACTAGTACTTGCTCTCTACTTCCTCTGTACATGACTGGACACCACAGGCATTTAAAATTTATTCATTTTTAAATTGAAAACAATAGACAGGGAAAAAAAGCATGACATATAAAATAATACCCAAGACAGTGTGAAATCAGGTAAGGTATGGGGCATACACCAGCAATCCCAAGACTTGGGAGGCTAAGGTAAGAGGATCTTGAGTTTGAGGCTAGCTTGGGCTACTCTATAATTACTCAAAATAAACTACTCAAAATTAGTTTTTTAAATGTTAGAGTAGTTAAACATGTACTGTTTGCACTAAAAATTAAAAGCCTGTTGGGCAGTGGTGGTGCACATCTTTAACCCTATGTGGAGGTATGTAGATCTCTGTGAGCTCGAAGCCAGCCTGGTCTACAGAGTGAGTTCCAGGACAGCCAGGATTACATGAAGAAACCATGTCTTGAAAAAAACCAAAAGAAAAAGAGAGAAAGAGAGAGAGAGAGAGAGAGAGAGAGAGAGAGAAACTTAAAAGTCTTATGTTGCTACTCATTTCAACACAGGGTTTCTCTGTGTAGCTTTGGAGCCTGTCCTGGCACTCGCTCTGTAGAACAGGCTGGCCTCAAACTCAAGAGCTCTGCCTGCCTCTGCCTTCCGAGTGTTGGGATTGAAGGAGTTCACCACCAACGCCCTGCTGTTGCTACTCATTCTTAAGTTTGTACTACAGAACCTGACCAAAATTAACCTCAGAGGTGAGGGGGGAAGGCATCTATACAAAAATTATGCCTAAGTGGGTAAGCTAAACTTAGTTCTTCCTGAAAAAGAGATGGGGATACATTTAAGTTTGAGACCGTTTCTGGCCCAATGTGGTGACACACACTTGTACTACAAGTACTCAGAGGCTGAGGCAGAAGACTGGACTATTTTTCCTGGAGCCTCATCCCAAAGGCAACCAATTCTTTTTCTATCACCCACCCCCAACTTTATTTCGGGCACTTAGGAATCAATTTCTTTCTCTAACTCAAACAGGCACACAGTATACTGTCCTGCAGCTTGCTCTTAGGGAGCGATTTAATTTACAATCTGCGGGTACTAAGAATCACAATCAGGGCCCTCCCTCACTGTGATTTACACAAGACTGAGCTAGCCCACACGCTATGTCACGCCTACTTTCTATCTTAACCTGAGAGGTCTCATTAAATAGAGGGCTTGGGAACGAACAGCATCCACAGAAAGCTCTTAAACGTACAAAGACATCTAGAGCTACCCTTGAAGCAGTATGGAGGCTAATGGGAGGTGACAGACACTGAACATGTCAGTTCTGAGTCTCACAGGGCTGTGAAGACTACACAGACACAGAACACTTAGCATCAACCCTGACTAGCACAGCGAGCTCACAGTAATGCAGGTATCACTACTAACTGCGCACCGAGGCTTCCCTACCTCCACAGCTTCATGCATGTCAGCACCCTGCCCAAACACCCTCTGCTCTTACAATGGAGCTGGAGTCACTAAGCTCCCCATGCTACTCAGCTAAGCTCAGCCTTCTTCAGAAAGCTTCCCTTGACACATTCAGGTTGGCTTTCCTGCCTGGGCAGCTTGGGAAGAGCCTGTCTGTCATCCCTTCCCACCATCTGGCTACGAGAAGGCCAGTTACTAAGTGTACACATATCAAAAGAGCTGTCCCTCACTGGCATTTTACCAGACTCAAAGTCCCGATGGAAACACTACAAGAAAGGGGCCGCGCTGTTCCCATTCTACAGACAGATTATACAGCATCCCAAGACCAGAGTCTACGACAGCACTCTGGATAGAGCTCTGACCACCTCTCTTTGACAAGAAACTGCCAGGTGAAACGAAGAAGGGTGTAAGGAAGATAGTCCCTCTCTTTGGTACTGCAAGGATTATGTAGCACTCCTTCCTGGTCAGGACTCCAGACAAAGAAGCCTCACACCACCTAAGCTAGCACCCAACTTCCATAGACACCATCCAAACCAGGATCTCCTAGAAACACAGTCTTTCTTGGGGGAATTCAAAATTAAGTTGAAGCTTTCTGGCCACAAACACATTCCAAACATGCCTTCCTTGGGGTTATAGCTGGGTCAGTTTGGGTTGAATGTAAAGTTTTCCCTGAAATTTGTCAAGCTATTTATAAAATGTCTCTTCTCTTATGCTTGTATCTGTTCTATAGATATCAAATCTGTATTTTTTAATTTAATCTCAGATGGTCATTTATTCAACAAATTCTTAATTGTTTCCAGAACAGTGTGTTCTAGACTCTGGTGATAAACGCAGAGAACAAAACAGTCAAGATTCCTGGGGCTAGAGAGATGGCTCCATCAGTAGTTAAAAGCACTGTCTGCTGGCACAGAGGACCCAGGTTCAATTCCCAGCACCCACATGGCAGCTCACACCTGTCTGTAACTCCAGTTCCAGGAATTTTGAGACCCTCACACAGACATACACACAGATAAAATATCAATGAGCAGAAAATAAAAGAAAATTATAAGAGAAAAAAAAAAAAAAGGACAGACAAGATTCCTGAAACCTGAAACCTGACACAACGTTTTGGTGTCTCTCTTCTAGGAACGTTAGACACTTCAGAGCAATGGCTGTTCCCGTCTTCTCCAGGCTGTGTCTCTTATTTCTTAGCTCTATATTCTGATTTCCCAATAAAATAATGGCCCATACTGTAGGTGACTGTGAACTCGCTGAGTTACTTTCTTCCCAACCAGAATAGGACTAGAGCAGTCCCTAAGAAAAAAGATACAAAAT